CAGGCAACTTTTTGTTTAATCTCTCCCAAGCTTTAACAGCAAACAAAACTTAATAGGGTTATCAAAATAAAAGGTGAGTGACAGGCTCTCAAAAAAAATTCCTTTTTCTCAGCTCATAGTACTCATTATTCAACAGCTATATAACTTCTGTTTCAAGTTTCTACTCTTATTACTTAATGCTGTGCTTCCTGAATGTAGTTCCTGATTAAGGGATCCTTAATTTTTTTTTTTTTTTTTTTTTTTTTTTTTTAAGTTTTTTTTTTTTTTTCCCGGTGTCGGGGGGATAAGGGGCCTCATCTGAAGCACCTTGTTCCTGGGCATGTCTCAAACTCCTGGACTCAAGCAATCCTCCTGCCTCAGCCTCCCGAGTAGCTGGGACTACAGTCATGTGCCACCATGCCCGGCTAATTTTTTTCTGTATGTATTAGTTGACCAATTAATTTCTTTCTATTTATAGTAGAGACTGGGTCTCGCTCTTGCTCAGGCTGGTTTTGAACTCCTGACCTCGAGCAATCTGCCCGCCTCGGCCTCCCAGAGTGGTAGGATTACAGGCGTGAGCCACCGCGCCCGGCCATGGGATCTTTAATTTTAAGGCTGCTAGTGCTGAAGGCTGTGATTTCACAATTTTCTAAAATAAAGCCAGGATAAAAAGGTATTGCTTTCAAAATTTAAATTTGTGTTTAAAACCCATTTTCTAAAATTAAGTGACTCATCCCTGAGGTTTTTATAGTTCTTTAAAAGAGAACACGGCTTATCAAATATTTCAAGTTGTCTCTTACTAGAGTGACTACAGTATCCCTCTTCTGAGCCTCCTCCATCTCAGCTATAAAATATTAATAGATTAACTACATAGACTTAGCTTGCCTAAATATTAAATCTGATATTTCTCTCTTAGAGTATTAAGTCCAGTATTACAACAGCTTGTATCAGTTCTCCCACTTCCATTCTTGTCTTCCTACCACCTATTCTCAATACACCACATACTACAATCCCATGCTTTAGTCTCTTTAATGGCTTATTAGAATTAGAAAAGATCCAAATAAACTCCTTACCATGGCTAATAGTACAAGATCTAGTCTACCTCACCTTTTACCACTTTGCCACTTCTTTTTTTTTTTTTTTTTTTAGTTCAAACCCTTCCACAGTATCTTTGCCACTTCTTGATTCACTTGTGTCTTCTAGGTGTTCTCCAAGCTTTTTGAATCTTACAGACTGCACTAGCTGGTCCTCCTGGTTGGATCCAACTACAGAGTGGGTGACTGGGAAACACCTGCCTAAAGTTGTCACTTAGGGACTTTGTATTAGCTCATTTTAATGCTTTACATACAGCATTTACAACTACTTCATTACCTAGTAACTAAGCTCCGGGAGACCAAGGGCCTTCTCTATTCAGGTATCTTCAACAGTGCCTGGTGCAGAGGAGCTCAACAAACACTTGATAAAACACTGTTAAATGGTTTGTCTTCATTAAAACAGCAAATATGAAAAGGTAATTTGAAAAGAATACACACATATACCAAGGTATTGATAGGGACCATCTGTGGGGTCATGTTATGGAAGTTCATTCTTTTGGATGATATGTATTTTCTTTAAACTATGCTAAAATCTACATAAAAATTTTCATGTATTGTTTTCAAAATAGAAAGGTACAAACGCAACATACACACGCTTCTAGCTAACCTGATCTTTCCAGGTCCAGCTCATTTCAAAATCCTATAAATGATTTCCCTAGCACTCCTGTGCCCCCTCCTTCAGAGTTTTATTCTCTCCTGTCATACACGTACCATTTTACTTCTCCAGTTATGCCAGTGAGGTTCTTCTTTGATACCAGTCTTTACCTCACCAAGACCTGGCCATCTTACCTTTATCTTCAAATCTGTCAAATTCTTTAGATTTCTAACATTGCCACTCTATCATAGCTCTTAATTAAAACATTACATCCTTTCATCTGGTTTACTCCAAATTCATTATTGAACTCCTGTTTACTCTGTAGCTAGAGACATTTCAAAGTAGAAATCCTATCATCCATGACTTCCCACCACACCCACCCATGTGCCAAAACTCAAGACTCCTTTGCTCTTGGGAGAAAGACCAAGCTCCTTTGAGGACAACTGCCCCTTAACCACCTTCTTAAACATGCACCCAACTCATTTCTCCCCATAGGGCCTTCCAGTCCTTTTTAACGTTTAAGAGGAGGGAACCTTATTTAACTTATCATTTACTAACAACACCTAGAACAGTGCCTGGCACTTTGAAGCTTAATACATAATTAATGAACAAACTGAATGAGCCAGTGGAAGTTAATCAGAGTAACATGATCAAGTCTTCTTGTAGCCTATAAAATGGGTAACAGGAAGAGACAAAGAGAATATACTGAGCAGAACAGATGCGACACAAAACATTTGCAGGCTGATTAAATAGATCAGAAAAATAGAGATGTTCATTACTATAGTCACCTATGCACAGGTAAGTCATCAAGGGAAAATAGTTTTAGACTTCCCAATTTTGAATTATCTAGTGCTTCAAAGGGGATGTAGCTAAAAAGATTTAAAAAGACATGTTTGGAACATGTATGTAGACAGTAAAAATTCAAAGAACTCAATAGCGATAACAGCACTTACTGAGGATGGCATCCTACATTGTTTTAGGTGCTTTAAATATTAACTCACTGAATCCTCACAATCACTCATTTTACAAATGAGTGAACAGGCACAGAAAAAGGCTTACCACAGAGTGGTGGAGCTGCCATTCAAGCCCAGGTTGTTTCCAAAGTCTTGCTCTTGACCATACTATATGGAATTTACTGAATGGATAATATATTGAAGCCAAGGTAGGGCATGAGCTAAATAAAACCACCCAGGCAAAGTCTGTGGGAAAGATAACAGACTAGGGACAGAAGGGATCAGGAAGGTATGGGGTGACAACAGAAAACGGCAGCTAAAAGAATACTAATGTCACAAAAATAAAAGCATTTCAAGGAGGCAGCCAGCTTTATCAAAACTCTAGAGATCAAAGACAAAGATCAGTTAATTTGGCAATTAACAGAAGGCTAGAAATCTTTCTGTGAATGCTTATTCTGAATCTGTACGTACAGTATTTTGCCCAATATTAGGTAATGCTGAAAAGACTTTGCTTCTTCTAATTCTGAAGTATGTAAAATATAATGTGCATACCTATGTAACAGATTTGAAAATTTTTGTTCCAGTAACTTCACTATTTAGGAATTATTTGACTTAATGCTGCAAATGATTTTAAACAATTACCTTCTTTTGAGACAGAGTCTCACTCTGTTGTTCTGGCTAGAGTGCCATGGCGTCAGCCGAGCTCACAGCAACCTCAAACTCCTGGGCTCAAGCGATCCTCCTGCCTCAGCCTCCCAAGTAGCTGGGACTACAGGCATGCACCACTATGCCCGGATAATTTTTTCTATATATTTTTAGTTGGCCAATTAATTTCTTTCTATTTTAGTAGAGATGGGGTCTCGCTCTTGCTCAGGCTGGTCTCAAACTCCTGACCTTGAGCTAACCGCTCACCTTGGCCTCCCAGATAAACAATTACCTTCTATGTGAATCTACTGAAATCTACCAAAGAAGGAAATTTCTTTCATGACTTAACTGTTAATTTATCCAGTAATTTTAAATAAATTAGAACTCTGACATCAAACTGATCAAAACACAAACTGCTACTGAATAATTAGAAGGTCTTTTTTTTTTTTTGAGACAGAGTCTCGCTTTATTGTCCAGGCTAGAGTGAGTGCCGTGGCGTCAGCCTAGCTCACAGCAACCTCACACTCCTGGGCTCGAGCGATCCTTCTGCCTCAGCCTCCCGAGTAGCTGGGACTACAGGCATGCGCCACCATGCCCGGCTAATTTTTTATATACATATCAGTTGGCCAATTAATTTCTTTCTATTTATAGTAGAGATGGGGTCTCACTCTTGCTCAGGCTGGTTTTGAACTCCTGACCTTGAGCAATCCGCCCGCCTCGGCCTCCCAGAGAGCTAGGATTACAGGCGTGAGCCACCGCGCCCAGCCGTAGAAAGTCTTTTTAACACAGAAAAAAAAAAATATCAAGGGTCTTTACTTATCTGTAGTAATAAGATAAACAAGTCGACCTCCTGAGTAGCCAAAGTTTTCAAATACTTTGTTCCTTATAAATTTCCTGGACCAAGTAATAATTTGCTCTTTCAAATTTGGGTCTATTTCCAACCAGGTGGGGTATACACTTTATCCCCATTTAAAAAATGTTTTTCCATAGCCATAAAGCCAGATGTTCTTGCAATTACAACTAAAAGTTTAATATAAACTTACAAAAATTTTAAGTCTTACTTCCTTGAGATGATGTAATGATTGTTCTGGCTTCTCTCCTGTACAAATTTGTGAAGATTGCTATAGGAAACTTAAAGCTTTATGAATATACTGTCAAGAAAAATTTGTATCATCCCCTATAAAGGAAGGAACAGTTTCAAGTTCTGAAATTACATATCCCTTAGGACCTCATTTCTTTTAAGTATGGCTAAAAGTATGGCTTAAATTTCTTTAAGTGTATGACTGCTTATTTCTCTAATATTTTCATAGAGATTGATAAATTTATTCCAATTTCTGAACTTGGGCCATGTCCATAATTTCAGATAACCACAATCGTGTCATCCCTTTTTTTCTTTCATTTCCTTCTGAGATGCAAGGCAAAACTCCTTTAGAAAACAAAATCCAAGATGGTTTATTAAAAAATGTTTAGTAGCTTGCTTTAGATCACTTTTCAGTGTCCTTACTACTTATTATTCTGTTCTAACATTCAACTTGTGTACCAGCTACCTAATCAAACTGGGACAGATCTCTAACAATGTTCGGTGTTACTAAATGTTTTATTTAATACATCAAATTTCACATTAAGCAGCTGGTTTTAGAATAATTTCTTATTTCTATACTTAGGCTATATGAAATGCAACTGGGAGAAAATATTTGGGAACATAAGAGCTACAGATTAAATTAGGGACATAGATAAATGCTGCAGACATCAGTAGTTTATTGTTTGTTTAGTCCAAACACATTCAAAATGGAAACTCAAAGAATACTTTCCACCTGAAACAATTAAACTAGATTCTACTAGCATATAATGCTTAACACATTACAGCAATAAAGATGGTAATCCATTGTCTTCTATACCTACTAAAGCCAAGGTGGTAAAGCCAATTTGGTTGTAATAGTATCATAAGGATAGAATATTACCATCAAAATAAAATAAAATCAGCAAATAACAGCAATGATAGATGAATATTTTTACTGTTTCACTGAAAAGGGGACAAAAAGTTAAAAGTCCACAGTACTGCAGGTGAACAATCACCATGTAAACTTCTCCACGTGATGTTTTTAACGTTTTATTCATGGTATGTAAAGACTGAAGCTGAATGGCTCTTTGCTCTACTTTTCTATTACACTTAACATTTGTCATTACTTTTGGTGCCAGAATAGTTTCCATGGGTGGCAGGGCAATATCCTGGATTGGAAATTATATATATGGATTTTATACATATATATAAAAAGAGAAACAAAGAAACAGAAGAATAGAGAAAAAATACACTTGGGGAAAATAAACACTGACAATAAAAACCACTTATTTAAAAGTAGTCTGAATAAAGGCTTCAAAACTCCAAAGTAATTTTCCGGTAAGAATTTCAAGTACTATACATCAGAAAGTATAAAACTGTTTGAAACAAACAAACAAAAATCCTTAAGCCCCCCTAAAATGGAAACTATGAAAATCTATGTCCCCCAAATATATGCAATAGTGCAAGACTTTTCTTCAAACATGGAAGACCTCATTCATGGGGGGGAGAAAGATTTAATTTTACTTATATTGCCCAATACATGAAAAACAAAATGTGCATCATTTGCTAGCTTACTAAATTGCAAACCGTTGCATAATTCAGAACCAATCTGCTACTATGTCAAGTGCATATTTTGTTTGTTTATACTAAGATAGAATGGAGAAGTCTTCCATGCTAACAAGCAGCTTTAAGTGGTCACACTTATTTACCCCACTTCTTGCCTGAAACATCAGAAACTGGTATGTACCGACTGCTCCAAGCATAAAATTGGATAAGTTTTGCCATACTTGCGGTTTACTGGAACTTGCTATAAAGACAGACAATAATCCAGCAGCTACAAACTTTGCTCACAGAACTGTTTAAAGATTCATGTAAAAAATAAAGATGTTGTCCCAGACTTAAATTCAGGAGCCACTAGGGTGCTGACATCAGTTCAAGAATTGTGCAAAATGAATGACAGTTCCCTGCCCCCCAAATAGAAAATGCAAACACTTAAGAGCTGCTGTTCCTTTCTCTGAAAATTGCAGTATCCTCACTTCAGGTTTACTTCCCATTTATGGAATCTGACTGCTTTTAAAATGTCACTAAAAATGTACATCAAGTTGATTGACTTTGCCAAGCCCTGAAGTGATACCTGTTCAAGGTTCACATTCAAGCTAGGAGAAAAGTCAACTAGAGACTTACTCAAATAACTGACTTCCTCCTTCCCTCTCCCTCCCAAACACACAAGACTCCCTCCCTCCCACAAAGAACACAAAGTTGTTAACCGAAGAACAAGATAAATAATATGCTAGTCCATTTTACTGATTTTAAAGATACTGCAATTTTTATATACTTCAATGATTTTTCAACATTTTGCAGCTGTTTGGCTTTGCAGCACAGCAATTCATACACTATACTGTACAAAATTACCAGCAAAACTGGAATGATGTATTAATAGAAGGCACCATCATGCTTATTACATTACTAGAGAACAAAATTACAGTAAAGACAATTTTCACTGTACACAGCTTAAAGAAAGGAAAGAGGGGAGGAGGAGTGTGTTGAGCAGCCAGCCATCCCTGTACTGAAGAGGGGCAGGTACAAAAATCTTAGATATGGAGCTACTAAATCTGGTCTAATATTCAAGACCATAGCATTTGAAGTTCTGATTTTTGTTATTTAGTTCATAACTAAAATGATTTCCTTCTGGAATATAATTGTAGTCTCGTTAAGGTTTATGTGTACACACGCTGGTCACAGCAAGCAGATAAAATGCCCTCATCATTTCACAAACTATTCTCTACTGGAAAAGATGATGAAAGATTTTTTTCCCCCTGTTGCCTCCTGTTGCAGATGTCAATGTTAATGAGTTCAGAGTACCCCATTAGTGCATTCTGATGAGTGCACAACAAGTTTCTGTTGGTTTGTATTTTTGGGGGGAGCCAAGAAAAAAGGCAAGATTCTCCAATTGCACAAATTGCACTATTTGTGTTTCCAACATTAACAGGTAGAAACAGTAACACTTAAACAAAATGTGCAGCAGAACATGTTTTTTTTTGATTCAAAGGACCTGAATTCGGTGGGAATGTCCTTTTAAGTTCATTTTGTTGTAGATAGTTTAAGATATGCTCATTTCTCAGTCCTTAATTCTCCAAGTCTAGATTTACAAGTTAACAATGTGAATCCTGTTGTGAAATTGGGGAAATAATGTCCACCTCAATTTAACTGATAACCAAAAGATGCTTTTCACATCAAAGAAATGATCAAAAAGGCTGTGTCACATTCCAAAGCCAAAAAAAATTAACAAGAATGCAAACACGATGAATAATGTACCACTGCCAAGACTCTGCCAACAGTGGAGCTTCAGCGACGTTGTCCTGTGAAGCGGCCTTCCATTTGCCCGGTTCCTCTTCCAGAGCCCAGTTTCTGTGCCATGCCACCTCTTGGAGGAGGCCCTCTTCCATCACGATCACGCATCATTCCACCACCCACTATTCCACGTGGACCACCAGGACCCCGATCGTTGCGCCTAATATCCCTGCGGTCATCACCACCACCTCTGGTTTCTCGCTCCCTTGCAGCTCTTGTTTTTTTCTCTTCCACATTTAAACGTACTTCCCCTCGAAACATAATTGGCTTTAAAAGAGGAGAAAAATATTTATGTAGGCAGGTTAGACAATAGAAATATTAACTGGCACAGATAAGTTAGAAAATGTAAGAAATAAAACTTCCATGAAATTCTTAGTATGCCATCTTTCCAACCTTCAACAGAGCAAATTATGGAATTTAAAAGGATCCACACTTTAAAATTACTAACAAATCTTTATTCTTTGCATAAATACCATTTCATAATGAACTATTTTTAGCTTTACCATTAAAAATAAAATTTTCTATGGCTTTTAAATGCACCAATATTATATACAACACAAATAATAAATTCTTGAATTATGCCCTTTACATCACTTACTTTTGCAATTAAGATTCTCTGAACTGGTTCAGAGTCATCAAAAACCACAAAACCAAAATTTGGAAGCTTTCCCCCAACACCCTTGGTATTGATGCGAAGTTCCACAACGTTTCCAAAACCTGTGAAAATATACATTACACCAAGGGTTAAGTATTTTAACAGAATACTTTGATGGCTTTAATTGTTCACGATGAATAACCTTAATCTTGATCCATTTCTAAAATAAAGTTGAAGCTGCTACACCCAGTGATAACTAAGGTACATTCATTCATGTAGGCAATCATCTAAGACACCAAGAACCAGCTTGGCTACTACCTGTTTTGTTACCCTTCCATCTCTTTGTTAGTCCTGCCATAAGCAAAGTTAACTGCATAGTTTTAGACAATATATTTTATCTAAAACTATATGGACTCATTTGCCAAATGAGTCCTATCTTTGACCTGAAGACTGATTCATCCAAGCTGTTTTCCCCAAGCTCTACTGAACCAGGTCAACACTAAGCAGTCACTGAGAAGAATCTGATAATAATCTATTCCTTTCTGATCAATTAACGTGAGACTGATAGCTGGTCACAAGTGTAAAGAGAGAAACATTTTCAAAAAATTGGTTATGTTATGAAAAGTATATGCCTCCTGCTTAATTTAAAAGCAAAATAAACCACTTACTCATGAAGAATTCTTTCAGTTCATTTTCATCAATATCATGTGGCAAGTTACCAACAAAAAGTTGATGACTGTCCGGATAACGAATTATCCTACGGTTGTCAGAGTCATTCTGTTCCATATCTCCTCTGCCTGAGGATAGGAATACAGCAGATGTTAAAGTTTACAATATTACATAAAAACCAGTTCAAAGCAATGAATGTTGAAGAAAAAAATCACTTAATACTGATATTCCTGTTTTAGTTTAGTAAAACCAGGTGAGCTCCTTAAAAACGGGAAAGAGGCTAGGCGAGGTGGCTCACGCCTGTAATCCTAGCACTCTGGGAGGCAGAGGTGGGTGGATTGCTCAAAGTCAGGAGTTCAAAACCAGCCTGAGCAAGAGCGAGATCCCGTCTCTACTATAAATAGAAAGAAATTAATTGGCCAACTAATATATATAGAAAAAATTAACCGGGCATGGTGGCGCATGCCTGTAGTCCCAACTACTTGGGAGGCTGAAGCAGAAGGATTGCTTGAGCCCAGAAGTTTGAGGTTGCTGTGAGCTAGGCTGACACCACAGCACTCACTCTAGCCTGGGCAACAAAGCGAGACAAAAAAAAAAAAAAAAAAAACAGGGCAGAAGTGCCTATTATTACTAAGTTAGAAAACAGTATGACACTGAACTGTAAAGTGAGAATATTAACTAGGTTGCTAAAATCCCTTCTTCTAGATCAGGTGTCCTCAAACTACGGCCCTTGGGCCACATGCGGGTGTTTTTGCCCATTTGTTTTTTTTTTTACTTCAAAATTAGATATGTGCAGTGTACATAGGAATTTGTTCATAGTTTTTTTTTTTTAACCATAGTCCGGGCCCTCCAACAGTCTAAGAGACAATGAACTAGCCCCCTGTTTAAAAAGTTTGAGGACCCCTGTTCTAGATCTACTGGTCTGATTTTATACGAAAGTCAAATACTAATAATACAGGTATTCCTCCTTAACCAAACTTGCCATCAACCAGGAACCAAGCAGACTTCAGATAGTGAGGTATATTTATTTCTACTAAATATTTGCTTAGTCTTCTGAAAGTCACAAATAATTTAATCTTTGGTTGTTTGACATTATAGCCAAATCAGTGAATTTTAATAGCAATAATCTCATTTATGTAGTCTTTTATACATATTAGGATACTATCATACACACACATATAAAAAACACAAAGAACACTAAGGTAAATAGGCATCACACACAAAAAATCTTGTCTAACAGCTGAATAGCATAAAAGTTCAGAATTAAGGATCTTAGGATCATAAATTCAATCAGTGGCTAAGCTAGGACTTTTGGTTTAGTAATACATGATTTTATTTTGTGGGGAATAACATTGTAAATTTGATGTATACTATCTTCTACCTTCTCCCAAAAGCAATCTAAACTTTCTTATATAATTCAAATACAGGAACCACATAGAATAGCTAACAATGTAAACAAGCCAAAAATCATGGCAACTTAATACCTAAGGCAATCAAAATAAGGAGAATCAGGGTGTCCTTAGTATTTATCTGTGAAGAGGTAAGAGTGCTAAGTAAGAGAGTAGGTAAATTCAGTAACAGAGTAGGTTAGGTTGCTGGCAGCATGGTCTTTAAGAATTCAATTCTTGGCTGGGCGCTGTGGCTCAAGCCTGTAATCCTAGCTCTTGGGAGGCCGAGGCGGGCGGATTGCTCAAGGTCAGGAGTTCAATACCAGCCTGAGCAAGAGCGAGACCCCGTCTCTACTATAAATAGAAAGAAATTAATTGGCCAACTGATATATATATATAAAAATTAGCCGGGCATGGTGGCGCATGCCTGTAGTCCCAGCTACTCGGGAGGCTGAGGCGGGAGGATCACTTGAGCCCAGGAGTTTGAGGTTGCTGTGAGCTAGGCTGACGCCACGGCACTCACTCTAGCCTGGACAACAAAGTGAGACTCTGTCTCAAAAAAAAAAAAAAGAATTCAATTCTTGAAACCAGTGACAATAACCAACTAAAAAATAAAACTTGTCTCAAAAGTTTTTTAAACTTCAAAACACTTGTCTCCATGGGCTGTCAACCAATCCTCCCCTAAAAGTTGGTTGTTCTGCCCCAGACGTTATTTCAGCAGATTACTCTTTAAGCAACTTGATACCATAAGAATCTGTGTATAAAACATGTTTTTTTAAAGTTGTCTTTTCTGACCTTACATGCAGTGCTAAATGCTAAAAGGTCATAGAGGGCCTGACTCACCTGGTCTTGGTCCTCTAGGAGGGAAACCAGGTCGTTCTCTAGGCCGTTGTTCACGCACACGAGGTGGCTGAGACTGAACTTCTGGTTTAGCTTCAACTCTTGGCTAAAATAAAAGGGAAAAAACACATTATTAAAAAAAAATACTACAGGAGAAAAAACCAACTAAAGTAACCATCAACAAGTCACTAGCAGGCATAATAGTAATTTTAAGTTTAGGATGTTTTTACCATAGTTTCCTATGTATGTTAAAAAGAAATTTTTATAAAGATATTCTGTACCAATCTAGGACTGTAGGGTAGGTTTTAACTTCCCACTCAAGGCTGTATAACTCACAATAAGCTGCTTTTTATAATCACATTTTTTCATTCAAGCAATTCAAGCTGTGTCAACACTAAAATAGTACAAAAGGTATTGCTACAAAAACCACAAAAATGCAAGATGAGCCACTCCATGTAAATACATAAACAAAATTAAAAGCTATCTTTATCTTAGACAAGATTACATGACACATAATTTCTAAATATCTTGTTTGCTGCCCCTTCAAATGTTACAGTGCTCAGTAATATCTCCTAAACCCCATAATCTTAAAATCAATATTTTAATAGTTCAAAATATATAATTTAGCTTATTCCAGCACCTAAAAATGCTACCTTAAAGTTTAAATGCATGTTAAAGAGAAAAACATGATAAGAACTTATAGGAACTTGTATGTAACACCTAAAGTAGCCAAAAAACTCTCAGTTCCTTACTGTTTTTCCTTACGGGAGAGATGTGCATTTATTTAAAGTACTGGCCACAACAATTTTCCTTAACTGTCAGGGTTAGGCTGGGATGAGAGTAACAGGACATTTTGAGATGCCTTCCAAAAGTTTCGGCTAGTTGCTGAATTAAACACATATAACTAAAGTACCTATTTTTAAAACAAAATAACATCCATATCTGCTATTACCTTTTCCTGAATACAACAGCATTTTCAGTACTTCCGACCTCTTCAGGCCTTTTATTGCCCAGATAATTATGGTCCAAGGAAGAGACAAAAGAAATAAGCCTTCAAAGGATGCTGAAAACACCCAGCAGGATATGGAGAACATATTCCCAAATCAGAAAGCTAGGAATTTCAGTCTTGTCTTAAAAGGTGATCATCTCTAGACCTCAGTCTAAGCAGCAACTCAAACTCTTGTATCATTTATATAACTGAGATATTATAACTTGCAAGGACAAATTTGATACAAAAATGCTTCTTTCAAAAGTGACAATTTATTGCAAATGATTTCAACTACTGTAACCAAGAGGTATAATAACTCCTAAAGTTTAACAGGCTTGCCTGCCTCTTCCCAAATTCTGTTTTCCTCCTTGTAGATGTTCCATTTCCCTCAAGATGAAATTGATTCTCATGTTCTAAAATTCTGCTAGTTAAAAACTAAAAATTTTAACCCTCTCCAGCTTTTAAAAATGTATATGTATTTATTCCTATAAGGCCATATCTTTACTCATTTTTATATTACCCAAAGAACAAAGCACAGTGCTGCTAGACACAGACATTCAGTAATTACTGGTTCATTTAAAATTAAATTACATTTTTACTCCTCTGACCCAAAACAAGCAAGTGAATGTTCTATGTCTGACAAGGAGATCTAAATGATAGCCCTGAAACCATCACTATCTGTATTTAAAGTTTAATGCTAAATACAAAATGTGATGCCTGAAAAGGCAGTTATTTATAGGAATTTAAATTAAGGGACTCTAAAAGCACACCTTACTTTAGTATGAATGTAAAACAGAATTAAAGAATAGATGTATTCTGTTTAAAGGTTAATGAAGCTAGTGTATTACTGGCAATTAATAGAAACAGCAAATGTACCTTGTATTAAAAAATTTCAGGAAAACCTTAGACTCATCCAATCCAAATGTTATAAAAGAACTTGAGTTCCCAGCCTTGAATGATTTAAATTCTTCTCAAAACAGATATCCAAAAGTAACCACAAGTAAAAAAAATAAAAGTTTCTTCCTTATCCTTACAGGAATTAAAATTAAAAGCAAATGAATTTAAGTAATTTCCAACATCTTACATGTAATTCATACCACTGATTTAGCAACTTGACTTTAAAAGTAGGTATTTCACGATGCCAGTGCAAGAATAATAAGAGACTAGCCGGGCGCAGTGGCTCGCGCCTGTAATCCAAGCACTCTGGGAGGCCAAGGCCGGCGGATTGCTCGAGGTCAGGAGTTTGACACCAGCATGAGCAAGAACCAGACCCTGTCTCTACTATAAATAGAAAGAAATTAATTGGCCAACTAATGTATAGAGAAAAAAATTAGCTGGGCATGGTGGCACATGCCTATAGTCCCAGCTACTCGGGAGGCTGAGGCAGGAGGACTGCTTGAGCCCAGGAGTTTGAGGTTGCTGTGAGCTAGGCTGATGCCACGGCACTCACTCTAGCCTGGGCAACAAAGCGAGACTCTGTCTCAAAAAAAAAGGAAGAAGAAGAAGAAGAAGAGACCAAAAAGCTAACAATGTCCCTTCAATAAATGATTTAACATATGTTAACTAAGCCAGCTGTGTACTTACAATTCTTCAGGCCCATTTTCATGATTAAAACGAATAGTTATTCTGTATGGATAACTGGCTAACATACCACATACTACGACTTAGGGCCTTATAATTAATTCCATGTAACCAGAAAGTACGATCACATGACAAATTCCACAAATTAAGGTCAGAATATTAAAATAATAATAATAATAATAATAATCAAGTCAATGAAAGCAGGTATAACCACAACCAATAAACAAGTCCTTCAATTAAACATAGGCTATTTAGATGAACTAGTCAACTTCCAGACAAAACCTTACCAGGAAATTAACTTACCTACTTCTAAATTAATGCCTACTATTATCCCCAAATTAGATCTAATTCCCTTTTATCAGTAATCTCAGTTAACAGTGTAAGGAAATGAACACAACACAAAAGTAACAAAATAAAATTGAAGGATTATTAAGTGGGAGTATCATGAATCCATTCTAAATATAACCTAAACAGATCAGAAAGTTCTTTTAAAGTTTAAATTTTAAACATTTAAAAATGTTTTATAAAGGGGAGGCTTAGGAAATACAAGCTAATTTCCTACAACTTGAAAAATATCTTCAAAAACACTCAAAACTTCAAAAAATTACTTAAGATATATAAGAACAGTTATTTTCCTGAGCAAGAGGCTAGTATTTAATGCAATTTAGGTATGCCTTCAGTATTCTCTGATACAAACACAGATAGATATATTACCCTCCAGCAAGGTGCTAAAAAACATGTAGGTTGACATGAGTCACATACGGACTCTGGTGTTCAACTGCATGAAATGAAAGCCCAGTCCTACTATTTACATAGCTGTCTGACCATGGATAAGTTACTCTAGGCCTCAATTTTCCTATCACTACAATAGAAATAACAGTACTCACTCTGACAGGGTGGTCCTAAAGATTCAATGAGAATGAATATGAAGTGCTTACCACAATGCCTGGCACATATCAAAGGCATAATAAGCATTAGCTACTTTAACTTTTAACCAATATATGTAGCCAACTCTCTGAAATGACAATACAAAGCTTTCAAATCCAAATCTGACAGGAAATCAAGATTTCAAAAGAAAAGTCACAAGTCACTTATCAGGTCTTCAGACGTGTTGAAAAGCACAAACAATAGTGGGCAAACTAATTTCCTTCATTAAGATAGAACTCTGGTTGATAATCTGAGGTAACCATTCATCATTTCCTGAATATCTAACTGAAACAAGTATTATGGGACCAGACCATGTATTCTATTTTATGTAGCTGATTAGACTGTATACCAACACCAGAAAGACTAATAATTACTAGTTAGTTCTGAAACCTCAAAGTTTCACTTTTTAGAGCACATAAAAGATGCATACACTAACATTTTAAATGTAAATTTTCTAGTGGAATGAAGTTTAACACAAAATGTAACAGAAAGAATTGGACACCCTTTATATGTCTATAAACTTAAACAGAATTTGGTTAATTCTAAACTGTATCATCTAACAAATAGGTAGCCAGTGTCTTATTTTCACATTTTTGAAAGCTCTGAAATGGGTAAGATGACAAACAGACAAAAAGCAGAATACTGGAATGATCAATTAAGGTGAACGCTACAGTCATAAGTTGGTACAGGCTTCAATTAAATGGTGTGAACCACTTACAGACTGAGAGCTTAGGCAGTGTACGTTAAAAAAGTTATTTTTAAAAAAAACAATTTTTTTATAACGCCACACTACTTTGGTGTCTTTCCAAATTTCTTACCTAAAATATTTTGCTAAATATAAATCTTTTTAAAAAGGAACATTTTTTTTGTTACTTTAAGAAGCCTTGTAATATTATATATTGGCAAACAATATTATATATTGGTAAAACCAATTTAATCTGTATTTCACACACCCGAACCCAATACCACCTATGTAGATGATGAATGGAGAGTTGGCATTTAAAGTGGGTGCACTGACATTTAATACAATTTTTTTGTATATTCAATCCATAATTTCTGATTGACTCATTTTAAAAAGTATTAAAAAAATAAGCAATTGGCAATGTAACAAGGATACAATCCAATGTGTTCACAGATTGGTTACCTGTGAGACTGGTGCTTTAACATGGGGTGGAATTCCAGAGGAAGAAACAGTACCACTAGGAGGCAGGTTTTTACTGGTCACTGAAGCCCAGGAGAAAGCCTGCAGGAAATGCAACAAACCTAGACTACTAATCATGGAAAACCACCAACATTCCTAAAGGGAAATTCCCAAATATATATTTTCTTTTCATTTCTAAACTATTGCTCTATATTGGAGGACTCCTAAAAGAAAGGCACACACACACATGCCAGTCTATGTGCCAGCTTTCAAAATCTCATTATGCAAGATTATTTATAACCGTTTTGTCTGAACCACTAGATAAAACCAACGCAAGTTCCTACACACTCTAAGCAGATGAACAAGTGGCAAACAAAACCACTAACAACTAAACATGCTAGAAAAATCTGAACCTAACAGAACCAATTTCTTTCCCTTTTTGGGGTAAGATAGGGTGTGTGATGGTGTAAAGGGGAGAGGGGAAGGATAGGAAAGAAGAGAAGACTAGCTGGAAACTTTAACAGACATTCACAAATTGAACAAGGAATCTCCTCCTCTCACTACCCAAGTATACTTTAACCTTCTACTTTACAGAAAGATAAAAGAAGTTTTAGGTAGGCTTACATGATACACTAAGGGTGTCACTCATAATTCCAAGATAGTTCAATTGGTATAGTAAGGAAATGGATCTCATTTAAACCACAAACAATAGGTATCTCTTCTTTGAATTATAGACCAACTTGTGTAAGTTGGGAAATTGCATGACTCCAGGTGTGTATGTGCTTATACAATGTAATACAGAATGAAAGACCAACTGACAGCCTTATACATGGACCCAAATAATTTCATGTAAGTTACTAAACACTGCATACAGACAAAGGATTGACCTTAAGTTATAAATTACACTTTTAGGGGGCATGGGGGAGGGAAACAATGAAATTTTCTCAGGATAACAAAAAACCCCACAGCTTCTTTCATATACAAAAGAAAGTATAGTATATTACTATATTAAATTTAACATAATAGAACAAAGGTCATGCTTCATTAATAGCACCAAATATGGAAGTGTGATGTTATAGGTCTAAAGAGTTTCTCTGATCTCACCTTTGGTGGTTCTTGTGGCAGAGAAACAGGTTCTGCAGGAGGAGGAGTAGCAGACTTCTCCTCTAATTCGTCTAAGTTCTTCTCCTCAACCTGTGGTTTCATCTCTTCAGGTTTTGTTTCAGATTCTGGCTCTGGTTCAGGTTCATGAGAGGACTCTTCCAAAGGCTCCTCTATGCCATTACTACAATAAATATTTAGTTCACTTTTCAGTAGAAGTAATATGGTTAGTTCAAGTAAGATAAAATTCAATTTCTCTCTAATGTAATGGACATAACGAGTTATATGCCAATAACCTGTACTATATCTATAAAGTGTTTTGAAGCAAAATTCCAATAAGAACTAGAAGGTAGAAAGGAGTAATACCCTGAAGCACCAATTCTTTAACATTACTCTTTTAAATTAAATAAAAACAATTATTTCCAAATTTCTTTCATACATATAATAGGTAGTTCTATCAAAAATTTACTTCCAATAATTATCCTAGGTACAGAAACCACCTTGCCAACATCATAGTTCAGATCGAGTTTAACCTTGCAAACACGATTCTTACGTCACAGGGTGGGCTTCATAGTAACCACTGTTAGCATTTTCTTGCACAGGTTCAGGAGATGGTTGCCTTTCTTCTTGTTCTTCTTCTACCTCATCTTCTGATTCTGGCAATACATAATACATCATATCTTTTAAGAGGCCTAACGATTTCTAATACACATATATTTTTAATATGTTTAAGGAGGTGGTATGATAGCAAAAAAAAAAAAAAAAAGACAAATTTCTTACAGAGGCATTCAACTAGAATATTCCCTGTTCTCTCAAAAACTAAAGATAACAAGCATGATTAAGTTTGGTATTTATTATACTCTATACTCTATTGTAAAAAGATATTTCAGTAAGAAAAGGTAGGAAATATATTAGAGCCATGATTCAGTTTCCTTTGTCACATCTATTTAATAGAGCAATGAAAAACGAAACAAACTAATGTCTATCAATGGAAGATCAAATAATTATGGTATAACTACAAAATGAGGCCAGGGCACAGCGATTCAGGCCTGTAATCCTAGCACTCTAGGAGGCCGAGGACTGTGGATCGCTCAAGGTCAGGAGTTCAAGACCAGCCTGAGCGAGAGCGAGACCCCATCTCCACTAAAAACAGACGGAAAATTAATTGGCCAACTAAAATATATAGAAAAAATTAACCGGGCATGGTGGCGCATGTCTGTAGTCCCAGCTACTCGGGAGGCTGAGGCAGAAGGATTGCTTGAGCCCAGGAGTTTGAGGTTGCTGTGAGCTAGAGGCTGTTGCCATGGCACTCTAGCCTGGGCAACAAAGTGAGATTCTGTCTCAAAAAAAAAAAAAAAAAAAAAAACAGAAAAAAAAAACCAAAAAACTGGGCCGGGCGCGGTGGCTCACGCCTGTAATCCTAGCTCTTGGGAGGCCGAGGCGGGCGGATTGCTCTAGGTCAGGAGTTCAAAACCAGCCTGAGCAAGAGCGAGACCCTCTCTACTATAATAGAAAGAAATTAATTGGCCAACTGATATATATATAAAAAAAAAAATTAGCTGGGCATGGTGGCTCATGCCTGTAGTCCCAGCTACTCGGGAGGCTGAGGCAGAAGGATCGCTCGAGCCCAGGAGTTTGAGGTTGCTGTGAGCTAGGCTGACGCCACGGCACTCACTCTAGCCTGGACAAAAAAGTGAGACTCTGTCTCAAAAAAAAAAAAAAAAACAAAAAACCAAAAAACTACAAAATGAACACGGAACAAAGAAGTGAAAAAAGTAACCTGAGCCAATATAATTCCATTTTTGTAAAAGTAAGCATTGGTAAGTACAGAATCCAAGAGAATTCTATAATAGGCACCACACTTGGTTATCTAGAGGATGAAACTAAGGATTTTCACTTTCACTTTCTATGTCTTTTTTCACTTTCTATGTCTGATTTTTGTATAATTTCACATAATAGACATTGATTTCTTTTATAACAAAAAAAAAAAGGAGAAAAGAGAATTTGACTCAGTTACAATAAAAAGGAAATTTCTATAAATTTCACAGACATAGAAATTAAACAGTCCTTAAAGGATACCGACAGAGCTCTTCGAGCTTCAAAGTTAACCTCACCTTCATCGAGTTCTGGTTCAGAATCACCAAATACTTCATCTTCGTAACGAAACATATCATTGTGAACATAAAACTTATTTGGAACAGATCCCTACAGGAAAAAAACATGTAAATATTCCATAAACACCCATGAATTTGGTATTACATAAAAAACAAATTACATGACATATGCATTTTAAATTTCAATACTAGAGAAACAATCTGAATTGTCAGTTTTCCAAAGCTGAACATGCTATGATGTTAATATAAACTAAAAAGGAAAAAAAAAATCACTCAAAAAATATTACAACTCTTATTGAAACCTTAAAATCTGTAACGCCATAATATGCCGAAATAAAAAAAAATGAAAAAAAAAATATTACAACTCAAGAAACAGCTACTCAAGAGAACCAACACAACTTTTCCATTTCATTTTCAAAATGTAACTTTGAAAATATACCAATATACTTCTTGTACTATTTCTGCAATCTTAATCATCCATTTACACACTTGTATCAGTTTCTAATTTTGAATTCCAAATAATCAAAGCACACGTGCTCGCACACACATGCTCAAATTATAACAGAATCCAACACAAATTTCTCAAAAATAGCAATATGCAAATCTACATCTATTAGAAGAAACTCTTGGACACTGCAACCAACTAACAACAGCTAAATTAAATCATATAAATAAAATTATGTGAAATGAAAACTTACTTCAGGAGCCAGAACAAAGGTTTGCATAAACTTCCTCTCTGGCTGTCCACTGTTAGACAGCAAACCCATGACCTGGACAACTACTCCATCACTCAAGGTTGCATGAGCATCCACATGACGAATTTTAGTATGACATTCACTGAAGTTCAGAGATAACACTTTGTGGTGTATATCCTTTATTAGGGAAGGGGGGAAAACAAACTCTTGTGATACTGCATTACCTACACAGTATTATTACCCACCCTCATTGATTTCCCTAGAACTCTTCAATGTTATTTACGCTTTCTGTCTCATTTGAATCCATTCTACCATGCCATGCATCACTGCCAGACTAAAGCTCCTAAACAATTTTCAACACGTCACACACCTCTATACAAGGAATCACAATGGCTCTCTGATATTGTACAGTAATCTGGGCTTTGTACAGCTTTCTCCCATTTTTCTATAGTAAGTATTCTCACAAACTGTATTGACTGCTCAATGACCTCACACCTGAATTTACTTCACTGTGTATTTCCTGATGTCATTTTTTCTACTTCCAATTCCTTCTTATTTGGTAAGGCCAAATGCTATAGAGCCTTGCTGAAGTCTCACATCCAATATAAAGTCTTCCCTCCCTGTTAGACCATAAGAGCGCATACTCCTGTGCATTCCTGTAACATAGGATTTAGCCCACATTTGCATAAACTTAATACATTATCTCAACTATTTCATGTATAAAATATATCAAGGATAGAAAACATCCCAAATGTCTCCTTTGTATCCATCCTAATGCAATACACCATGTTTCATTAAAAAAAAAAAAATGGATGTTTAAGAAAGAACTCAAAGCACCTTTGACAATTATTAAAACAAATTCCAGTTACAACTAATGATCATATTGAAGAAATCCATGGGCACATGAAGGCTATTTTAAAATATCTTAACACAAAACAATTTCTAAAACATATGAAACTGATACATACATTTTGGCCATAAACAGCTTCCTGGGGCTTTCCACTAGCATCTACTCCACCATGAACATAGGAAGAATTCCTGCCATAAAACCTGCAAAACCACTGATAATTAATGAATTGTAAAAAAAAGCCTACGAGGCAGCAGAGTTCTGATGTCAGTCAGACTAAGTTCCACGTCTGGTTCTGTTACCGATTAGTAATCTCTGGGGCAAGTTACTTAAGGTCTTTAAGTTCAGTTTTCTTGGTTATAAATCAATAGTAACCACTCCACAGGGTTGTTTTAAAGATTAAATCAGTAATGCACACAGAATGCTTAATGTATCTGGCATACTAAGTAGACAATCATTACCTATGCTCATCTAATTCTTATCACATCTATTTTTTTGGTAAGTGGAAGAATGAAATAGTCTTGACTATTTGATAAATTCTAAATACGGATTCTGTAGTTATTGATCCACTTCTTCCCTTGGAATACAAAAACTCAGTTGTCTAGATTTGTTTAGGAATCAGTTTAACACTCTAGTCAGATCTTCAAATAATTATCAATTCTAAAAGCTTAGATGAGAACAGTTTAGTTAGATATACAATAATTAAGATAATTCAGAGAACATGTCAAAAATCTAAAATTACTTCAGCATCAAATCTGTTAATATTTTTGTGCTAAGTACATGACAAATTAGTCTGTCTCTGGTATTACCTAAAGCAATCAGAACATCTCACTAAATTGAGGTTACCAAAGACACAAAGTTAATTTTTTTCATAAAGAGAACTGAGCTCCTATCCCACCAAAACACATGTAAGAGCTTCCTTTAAGCCAAGCAATATTTTCAGTGTATTACATATATTGATTCATTTAACCCTCTTAACAACCTCATGAAATAAATGCTATTATCTCAGTGAACAAATTGAGGTTCAGAAGAGGTTAAATAACTCCACTAAGGTCATATATCCTACCAAGTGGGTAGCTAGGACAAGAGCCCAGAGTCCACGGTTTTTAACTATTAACTTATATTTTTAAATTTATGCTATTTTCTCTCATATACTATTGGCAAGCAAGTAAACTGGCATTATTTTTCTAGGGGACAACTGAACAGAGTAACAGGGGGAGAGAAAGTATGTGTACATGTTTATGAAAAGCCTTAGAAATGATCATACCTTTGATGCAACAATTCTTCCAGGAACTTATTCTAATTATTCTAAGAAAATAACTAGCAAGATACACAAAATGCACATTTGAGGATATTCATTATAGCACTGCTTTAAAAAAGTGATAAATTATAAACCACCTAAATTTTCATTAAGAGGGAAACTGGTTAAATGAGCTAGATATAAAATGGAAGTTTGTGCCACTTAACATGATATTGTATAGCCTTGTTTTAACTTTTGCTCTGTCACTTAAACATACAGCTGTTGATGTGGGGTTTATGGAGGGGGTACATGTTATACTTTATAACTACTGGATTCTAGTAGAGTGGTTAGAGGCTCTCTAGTCAGAATTGGCCTGAATATTGGCGATGGCTAGCTCATTTACTTACTGCACAATCCTGGATGAATTACTAGCCTCGGATGCTCAATATGTAAGGTGAGATAATAAAAGCACCTTCACTTCTGTAAGATTGACATAAGGGTTACACAAAATCATATACTAAGGGAAGTACTTAAAAGATCCTAGCAAACAGTAAATACAGAAACGTCTTCTGGAATAAGGCAGAAAATACTACACAGATAAAGGAACTTAAGTCTTTTAAACAGCCTTCCCCACATGAAGTGGCAGTATAATATTTATCCTTAACTCACTTAACCAGTTTGTTATACAATACACATAAAGTCTAATTCTTATAAGAGTTTGCACTTATCTTCCACTTGCTAAGATATACCCAGATGACAAATTAATAAGTACTACCTACAATGTAAATCAATTTCACTTCAATCTCTGGGAAAAATAAGCTCACAGATGCCCAACATTTGCCAAGGTATTATAATAAACAAGGCTACTATTGCTGTTTTACCAATACTATTTTGCAGATTATAAGAAATACAAATTTTCACAAGTATAATCATTTAACCAATTCATTCCCCAACACTGTTTGGGAGGACTTAAAATGATTTAAAGCATTGATTTCAAATTGCATACTGGAAAACCACTAGTTGGTCAGGCCCTAAGATTTTTTTAAATGAAAAATAAAATACCAGAGTATATATAAAAATACAAATGTGTTATGTACTAGGATATGGTATGAGGTGTTTTTCTTGCTATGACTTGTAGTCAAAAACACTGGTTTTAGACATCAGATGGTTAAAATATCGAATACGGTTTAGAGAAATTTACAAAGATACTGTCAGGTTACGAGGAAACAGGAAAGGAAAAATACATGTAGTCATACCCTCCAAAAACTAAATAAAAATACTAAACAATTTGTTTAAAATTTACCTGTGTAAGTATTCTGGAGCTTTATTCAGCAAAGTATAATATTGCCTCACAAACTCCCGCCCTACAAGCAGCGGACTTGGCTTCTCCATAACCATTTCTTTGCTGCACAATGTCAAATGCTGAGGAAGCAAACACAAGAATAATAATTATCAAAAACTCATCTTTGTAAACTATCATGAAATAAATTTTCTTACCCATATAAATGGGATTAAAGTAAAGTAACATCAATTATTAAAAAGTAATTTACAAGCTGGGCACAGTGGCCTGTGCCTATAATCCCAGCTACTTGGGAAGATCCCTTAAACCCAGGAGTCAGAGAGCAGCCTGGGCAACATAGCAGGATCTTGTCTCAGAAAACAAAAAGACAAACCAAAAATAATTTACAACAGCAAAATAATAAATTACTAATTACTACCTGTAAGATAACCTTCCAACATTTGCATATCCCTTTCTATTTCTTGATTTCCCTAACCCTCAGCACTGGAGGGAAGTAGCACCTTTGTTCCTTCTTATTCCCAAAACAGTCCAATGCTGCCTCAGACTAAGTATACCATAGCCTAGTCCTTCTATCCACATTGCCTTTTTTCCCTCTTGGGGACCAAAATCTACATTCCTGGATGGCAGTGGTTTTATTTCAGAAAACTAGGCAGAAGGCACAAGTTAGGTCTTAGAGAGTACACTCATCATGGCAAAGTACTGTGACTTATGTCTTTGTATTCTCTTTTTCTGGGAATTAACTTTACTCTTTTCAAAATAGTAATAATGATTAATAACCTGCTATTACCTCAGTTCTCAAAGACAATCATTTTTTCCATCTGGCATTATGTCTTTCCAATCTTCCAATCTTTCCATTAGGTTAAGCATCTCATTACATCAGGTACAGTCTATGGTAAATGGATACCCTGGTGAACAAGACAATCTCTAACTCTCAAGGAGTTTACAGTCTGTCAAGAAATGAGCAAACTGGAAACTCAACAGAGTGGGTTAAGTACTATGACAAAGTACCTCTACACTGAAACCTCAAAGAAAAAGGTCAAGAAAAACTAGCACAAAATAAACACTTCCCTTCATTTACTTTATGCATACAGCCCAGCACAGTCAAAATTTTAACATCAGGAACATTAGGGAGTAGAAGGGAGAGAAAAAAATATGAAAATTCAAATATGATATGTTTTTCCAAAAAACAAACATTAAAAACTATCCTTTCCGCCGGGCGCGGTGGCTCACGCCTGTAATCCTAGCTCTCTGGGAGGCCGAGGCGGGCAGATTGCTCTAGGTCAGGAGTTCGAAACCAGCCTGAGCAAGAGCGAGACCCTGTCTCTACTATAAATAGAAAGAAATTAATTGGCCAACTAATATATATATACAAAAAATTAGCCGGGCATGGTGGTGAATGCCTGTAGTCCCAGCTACTTGGGAGGCTGAGGCAGGAGGACTGCTTGAGCCAGGAGTTTGAGGTTGCTGTGAGCTAGACTGACGCCAGGGCACTCACTCTAGCCTGGGCAATAAAGTGAGACTCTGTCTCAAAAAAAAAAAAAAAAAAACTATCCTTTCCTATTACACTTGTAAGTACTGAAAAAACAATCACAACATCTAAGTGTGTATCTATTGGGCAAATCAGGATGCAGTTTAAATTCCTGCTTAACAAAGGTTTCCTTTAAATAACTAAAAAATTTCACAGCCAAAGACAGCCCACCATAGTCATTATAATTGTGATACTGTTTTTAATAAAAATAGCATCAATAGAAGAGCCTAAAAACTGTAGCTTTACACAATTCTAGTGATTTACAATTTAACTTTATGCTAGTAGGTTCCTTTTTCCTCCTTTTTCAACTGTCCTTAAATTCTGAAGCTTAACCGATAAAAATTCCCAAATCTACTTAAATTTTTCTATAAAGCCTCCCTTACTTTCAAAAATAGTTAATTCACAAAGCAAATCCAGCTACTACCATTTCAGGTGCCATTGGTTTTCCACCTTACTTAAAACTCCCAGTAATAAGGCTAACAACTCTAATGCTACATTTAAAGTAACAAAGCTAAGCAACATAATATTTTTATTTTCAATAATGAGGTAAGGTGAAGAACAGTAGACTAGTAAAATTTTATAACTAAAATGTGAAAATTATAGATATGTTAACACTGTAACAAAATTGATGATAATACTAAGACATGGAAAAATACTAAATTACCCTCTGAATAAAATAATTATAGTACAAAATAATTTTCTTCAAGTTGCTAGTGAAAGAAATGCTATCAGGGATTATTTCTGGGTTTGGGGATTACTGTCTTTGTTCTTCTCTCTCCTCTGTATTTCCATGATTTCTACTGCCAACACTTGTCACTCATCCCTAATCTACCATATTCATAAAGTACATATTCCCCTATCATTGTTGTCACATATTTGTTTCTTTCTCAAACCAAAATAAAAAGGTACAGAATACATACATCAATATCAAAGAAAGGCCAAAATACACTAAGGATTCATTTATAACAAATTCCAAGGGAGGCTTCAAATTGCCCATTATCTATACATAGTCATTAAAGTATCAATTTATGTCAGAAACACATAGAAAGGCAATAGAAGAAACTAATGCTTGATTTATCATTATTTAATAAATTAACATTTATTATAACTTATTCAAAGGAGGTAACTTGAAAAGTGGCTCCCATAGGGAATGGTAATACAAAATGAAGCTGTTACTCAGAGAATGGTATTTCAACTAATTATACTTACACATCAGCTACTTCTATACCATAATTCTGATTTATAATGACTCAGAATTTAGAGAGCCAGAATATAATTGATAGAAATCAATCAGAAAATGAAGGTATTAGAGGGAAAAAACACCAAAAAAACCTCACTACTCACTATGTAACAACAGGCTAATTCATATGTTCTTCACAAACAAGTGATCTCTCTCACCTGACTTCCAATTCTCCCCCAGTGTAGGGAGATTAACAGTTCAATAAATAAGGAATGACATGGAAGCAGCACTTGGGATAGATTACAGGGGAACCACCAAACAAGGTAGTTTGGGTAGCAGCAGGAAGTAAGACCTTGAAAGCTGTTAGTATAAAGTTTCAATTCACATGCAACCAGAGTATAAGGTTGGAAAAAAGAGGGGAAAGTGTCAAATTACACATTCAGAAAAAAGTGTGATTACAAGAAGAATGAATTGTGCCATTTTTATTCTTCACAGCAAAGTGTCCTACATACAGGTAAGTAATTTCTGGATTTGGTGCCTTCCACTTCTTTAAAAAGAAAAGTCATCAAACATTAAAAAATATTCAGGACATGGAAGTGAGAAAAAGGTTTTCACTATCTATGGCCATGAAAAAGTCATGACCTTTCTGGATCTCAATTTCATAATTTACATATTGAGAAGAGATCTCTGGTCAAGACTATACAGTTCTACAAAGATAGACAAGATTAAAGGATATTTATACAAAAAGAATTTTTGGAAGGTTGTCAGTCTCTAGCACCTTCAAAGATAAGAGCAATTATTACCTACTACCTTCTTAGAGAAAGTGAAATTCCATGTATTAAACCCCATTTCTTCCAATGACGCCTGAAAATGGAGAGACTGGAGTCATACAGGAATGTACAATGTAAAATTTTCTTTGGCACATTAGCTCTCAATAGACAGACATAGCCTTTCTTACTAACAAATCTGTTATTTGTCAGGTAAAAACATTAATACTATTTATTCATCCAGATCCCAACATGATTATACTCAGCTTCCCTCTCACCATATAAACTGTAACTATGTTAGAGTTAAGTTTAGTTTACAATCATTCTATCCTCCAACTCTGCCTATCCCACCTAAAATCCTGGTGAATCTTTACCAACATCCTTTTTTACTCAGTCTTCTTTCTTAAAATGTTTCCTCTCTACTTGCCTAGACTTATTCTTGAAGCACACCTACTCCAGCTATCATGAGAAATTGCTCTATAGCAATTGTCACTATCTTTCCCTTATCTCTTAATAATATACACTGAGAAGGAAGTAGAATAGAGGAAGAAATAAGACATATGTACAAATAAGATAGAAAAGTCACATTGGGGTTCATATCCTATAATATGCTTAGATTTCCTCAATTTCAAAATAACTTAAAAAAAAAACTTATATAAGTTATCACTCTCTTTTCCTCCCTTGACTAAAACTTCAGCTTTTAGGTAAAAATACATACATATTTACTTTTTAAAAGTAAGTTTACTGACTCACTGGTACAGGAGTCCTCAAACTACGGCCCGCGGGCCACATGCAGGTATTTTTGCCCATTTGTTTTTTTACTTCAAAATAAGATATGTGCAGTGTGCATAGGAATTTGTTCATAGTTTTTTTTAAACTATAGTCCAGCTCTCCAACGGTCTGAGGGACAGTGAACTGGCCCCGTTTAAAAAGTCTGAGGACCCCGGCACTAGTATAATAAAGTTGCTGCCAAAGCACACTCTCAGGCTGCGTTAATACAGATATAATGTCTAAAGTGGGCTAGAAGTTCTCTGGAATACAGTGAATGGAAATTACAGGAAGGTAGATTTGGGTTCAGAATAACTCAAGAGTAACCAGAGTTGTTCAAATGTTGAATAAAGTTAGCTATTTCATGACTAGCCAGTCACTACAGGTATTCCAGAGACTACACAAACAATTTAGCAGAAATACAGTAAAGGAGTCATACATCAAAAAAGGGATATCAGGTCACCCCAGCAATAAGATTCTAGAAGTCTTAATAGGAACCAGGGCCTCTGACTTCTACTCTACTCACCTTCCTAACTTTAATGACTGAAACCCTATGCATTCATCCTGGCCCAGCAAAAATACCATCTCCCTGAAAATCTTTCCTGATTCCTCAACAAAATATTCTTTCTCTATGAACTCTCAACAGTACCCTGGGCTTTTACCATGGTAAAGGTCGATCATATTCTGCCTTAAGTCAATAATAGTACCCCTGTCTTAGTCTTCCTTTTCTCCTACTCCCCTCTCAAATATTCCTTGAATACAATTCTCAGGAAAATCACAATTCTTCAACAATTCAATGACTTAGTCCTCCATTTATGTTCATTATCCCTGTTGATCACCTCTACCTAACTCTTCTAAAGTTCTAAGATAAAGAACTTTCTCATCAAAATGCAAAAGTCTTCAAAAGATTCTGTCTTCTAACCTAGCTATTTTAGCTTCAGTTCTCCTATCTACCTAAATTTATAACTACTCTGTACCATAAACTCAAATTTTACAGGATTTGTAACCACGTGAAGGATACCTACACATGACTTCATAGGTAACCCAATATATGCACACCCCATGCAGAGAAAGCTATTTCCTTTTTTCTATTAAAGGTGTCACCATCTGGGCTTGAAAGCTCAGTCATAACTTTCTCCCTTTAAGTGTTGTCATTCAAACTGAAATCCTGACAACTCAGAAGTCTTCATCATGCCCTCCTTTCCACTCCCACTGAATTAATTCAGACTTTTTAAAAAACTCCTGTATCATGTGTAATATCTATCATACAGGGTAAAAACCCAACACCTGCATTCAGTTTAGCATATAAGGCTCACCACAGAAACCTATTCTAACATTCATGGTCCTAACTAACCTTTCAAATTTATCTCCCATTATACTTCTCACCCTGCAACAAACTGTATAAATTACTTAACATCATTCATTCTCTGCAATTTTCATTCTCTGGGCCTTTTTCTTATGTCATTCATTCAACACAAGCTGGGTGAATGGGTGAGACAACACAAATTCATTCAACATTTACTGAATGGCTACTATGTATTTACCAGAAACTACAAAAAGAAACACAATGATGAACATGATAGACACAATCTGTTGTACAAAGAAATTTAAAGTTTAGTGGGAGACATAATTCCTAAACATAAT